CTTATTGGAAACTCAAGACAGCCATAACATTATGATTTTTTACAAGTGTATGTACACTTTTGACCACAACTGTATATCATCTGACCTTTCAAATATCTTGCACTAAGATTCTAGAAAACCACTTACACGCATACTGGCAGAGGACATAAAACAGACACGTCTCTAAAAATAAGATTTTCAAGCATTTTTCCACTTCAATCCTCAACTCTAAATATTTTTATTTTTTTTATCTTGATCTTGATCTTCTTATAAATGTGCTTCTTTTTTTTTTTGGCAAGTGCTGACGGACAAAATATGAAAGTCATTATTTACTGCTGCTGTCACTCCTTAAATTCACAACATTCAGGGATCAGTGAGATACTCTCCACTCTCTTTCCATCTATTCCTCCTCATCCGTGTACAGTTACTGTAGGATCCCACTTATTATTATTAGAAACTTATTTCTTCTCATGATCTCATCCTGAGAAGAAAACCCCCCTTTATAATGCAACACAAAAAACTTTTAGTCATCTGTGACCTTACATTTTTTGCACAGTATGAAAGGCCAAAATGCTATAAACAGATAATAATTCCCATGTTGCAATTATGGTTACATCAGTTTAGCACAATGGAGCTATTTTATTTGGGTTTTATGTGACATACTCTGCATGTGTGTTTAAATGTTGGATGTTTCCGTTTCCAGAATTAACACCACGTTGATGTCTATCATATTGTTATGGCCCTTTGCTTTTCCTCTACTGTGTCTTAATTACACCCCCTTTCCAGGTTTTTCCTTCTGGTTTCTTGTTGTTTTTTTTTTTGTTTGTTTGTTTCCTCCAATTAAATATTTAAAGCCAACTGTAGAAAAGTTTGCTACAATTTTAAACAAACATTAGCAAATGCTAATCTTTAAGCTCAGTGGACTGGAAAGTGGGAAGTCTGGAAGGTTTAGTATGGAAAAGTATGAAATACTTACCAGAATAAAACGTGTATGAAACTTGTTTCATACACGTTTGTAATAGAAATGGAAAAAAAGGGGGAAGGGAGTGGAGCTTAAAGGGAAACTATGAAGCAAAGTAAAGTTGTAAAAAAAGTACATATATATATATTTTTTATTTTTTTATTTATTTAAAGGAATACAAATAAGCTTTTTGATCAAACTTACTTTATAAATAAAGACCATTTACAAAAGGTAACGCCAAGACCAAAGTTAGGATTAGTTTACACACTTTCAGAACAAAGATGTTTTGTTGAAAATCACATTTTTCCAGATTTGGGTCAGTCAGTGGATCGGGGGCTCACTGTTTAACCCACCTGATCCCTCTCCGAGCAGTGAATGCACACTGCAGACACAATGCCCCGTGTCATCTGTCATTAAGTGTAATTTGATCCTCAACAAAGCACAGAAAGAAAGTTAAGTCACCCTGACTACGAAAAAAAAAACAGAAAACGCTTACAACTGCTGCTATGACATTTTAAACGCTAAATTTTATTTTCTATACGTGGACTCAAAACACTTTAAATTAATCTTGTTTCCATTTTTCTATAGCATCAAGCTTGACCGGGCGGACGAAGGATGAGGTAAAAACCTCTCCCAAAGTTACATTTTTATCTGTAAAACGACCAATTTTAAAATTTTCCGCTGGGGATCAATGGCTCACTGAACTGAATTGAACATGGAGATATTTGCTGCCCTGTAAAAACAGGATGTCTTACCCCCGCTTCGTCGCCTCGGTCAGCATCTCCGTTCATTCTTATGCTCTCAGTAGCCATGTCGTATCTGTGTATCCCGACAGAAAAGGTCGGTCATGAAGCTTCAATGTGGGCTTCACTCAGTGGGTCGCCGTGGGTCCTGGCACAAAGTCTCGGCTGGTCTACTTATAAAATACCCCGCTGCTTTGAGGAAGATGGGAGAGCACAGTTGTTTATTAAACCACCCCTCCAACACAACACGGGGCGGCGGTTGTCAGAAAGCTGTGCGCTGCTTTCCGGAGTGACAACTTCCCGATGGTATTTATTTTTATAGGGTACTTTCAGAAATGGTCCCCAATAAGATGCTGATGTAATGTTTTAGAGGCCGGACAAAGCGTGGATTACTCATCGGGAACTTTACCGGATAATTTAGGGCGGGGTTTTGCTGACATCTAGCGTTACATCTGCGGTATTACAAAAGTATGCATATTTTAAAATGAAGGACGTTTTCCATTCAAATTATACATTACACATGTAAGTATATGTTTCAAGAATCTATTATTTTTTTATGATTTTATTGCTTCTGCTACAGCTAATAGAAACAAAAATTCGGTTTATCAGAAACTAAAATGTAGAAATTATTATTGCCTTATTATGGCCTGTGCAAGCAAGGGTTAGACTGAAGACTTGACCTTTAACCATCAAGCTGTCAATTATACACTCTATAGGTGAGATTGCTAAAGAAGCTAATCCAAACGTATTCCCAGAAAGTTAGGCTCAAGGGGAAAAGTGCAATAGAGAAAAAGATGCACAAGCAACGGGCACATCCTCCACCTTAAGGGTTTCAAGGCAAACTCTGCAGCTGGTGTTAGATTTTCAAGAGCCACTGCATACAGATGTATCAGACGCCAGAGTCATCTCACCTGGGTGGACATGAAATGTAGATTTCTTTTCATATGGACATTTTCACATGCAAAATTTATGTTTAGAAATCAATGCCCCTGAAATCTGGAGGACTGAATTGCCGATATCTGCTTTATTGACCATCACTGCACTTAAATGATCAGTAAACTTACCTAACCTGATAACCTCAACCCTCGTTTTGTAAATTTAATTACTGAAATGAATAAACTTTTCAGTAATGATTTATTTATTTAAAAGTTCGTGTGTAAGGATATAAGTAGGCCTGCCGAGTCCTAACAAGAAACCACGGAAAAGGCAGTGCAAGAGGCATGTGCATGATGCTCAGAACAAGCAAGAACCACAAGCAAAATTAAAACAAAAACATGACAACATTGAGGAATAAACATTAAAAAATAACTTAAATGGTCAACAATGCCACCAACTAAAAGGAGAAGCAAAGTAAACGTGCCACAAAAAAATCCAAAGTGGCTCGAATGATATGCAAAATACTTGCAACACATCACAAAGCAACAACAACAGCAAGGTAGAAAATCTGAAATACTGATCTAATAGACCTACAAAGTGGAATAGTGTAGAAAATGCATTACTGGCACAGTAAAAGAGGAACATAGTCACAAAAGGAGCTTTAACTAAGCAAATAAAATATACAAGTAGTAAAACTGCTTCCATATCATGTAAGAGATAGAAATACGGGTTAATGAATTCATTCATAAGTGCAGAAACTAATGAGACAAACATGGCAAACAGATTTAACATTAAGGGGTTAAAAACAGGAACAGGAACGATAGATATGTACATAATCTGAGGGTAAGTCAAGTGAAATTTTGAGAAGTTTTTTTTTTTTTAAATTACATTTTAGCAGTGGCTTCAATAACAGATCTTAGTAAAAAAAAAAAAAAGAGAAAGATAGAGACAGGTTTGGTTTCTAAACAATAACACTCGTGTAAATTTTTCCCAAAGTCAGGATGACATTATAATAATTATGTTTATTATGAACTTGATTTGTGAGACTGATTACCTCACCCGGGTTTCACTTCAATGTAGGACAATATCTCACTGTGTGACCAACTTTGATGTTGACAAAGCTCTTTGGTCACATGATTTGACTATTGCCTTGATTATGTTGTGGTTAGTTGTAGTTGTTTTGTGTTTCTTTGTGTTCTGTTTTATTCTCCATGCGTTTTGCTGCCTTTGTTGCCAGGTACAACCAGTAGGGGGTATGCATGCAAGGCACATGAATAGAAAGCCAACAAACGAGAATTTTGTGACCAATTGATTTGTAATAAATGGCAGAAATGTTTAAGTGGGCAAAAATAAATCTTCTTGCAGAAATGCATGTGACCAATTGTCTTCTACATTAAGCTACAGATTGAGAAAAAAATGCTTCAGAAGCCTCATTTATGGTTTTACTAAGTTGTTTCTCCGAGTTCTCGTCGAAATCCACCAACTGTCACAGTTGCCATGGTGACTGGGAGCAGACCGGCCATCAAAGATGCTCCTTTAACATTTAAAACTCCATCAAGGTAAAATCTTGTAGAAAAAAAAATGATAATGCTCATCTGAGTTGAGGAAGTGACCTCCACTTCCCTTCTCACCTGTATTTGATTAAACAATCAAAGTTTTGTCAACAAAACACTGATTGTTTTTAGATAAAATCATACACTTCAGCAAGTGCTTGTTTAGTCAACTGCTTATATCAAATGAACAGATGCAGCTTATTATTACAACTTCTCACTGAAATCCACACTATGTTGGTTTGTACATTTACAGTTTTTGGACTGTAATTATACAAAAGGTTACAGCAAAAAAAAAAAAAAAAATCTTTAAGTATAAAATAAATTCGCAGTCCAAATTAACTTAAAAGACACCACATATTTCTTTGATCCATTTAAATTTTTCTTTAAATATAAGAAATTGTAACTTTATTTTATAAACATACGAAAATAATACGAGAATTTGTTTATGGTGTTAACTATGGTTAAATGTTTTTTCTTAGTTTTCCGTAATGTTAAAATATGGCGAGAGACTTTGACCCTATAGTATTTGTTTTTATATATTCTTACTATTTCAACCAGCACAAAGTAATGCAGAGTTACAGAAGGAAAAGCAGATATGATTTTAAATCGTTTCTACAAATATGAATCTGACAATATGCATATTCCACAGTTTTGCTGTAATTGCAGCTGCTTCTCTTTCAGATATGTCTCTACCAGCTTTGCACATCTATAGATTTACATTTTGCCCATTTTTCTTTGCATGAGCTGCAGCTCAGTTAGATTGGATTGAGAATATCTGTGATGTGACAATCAATTTTCAAACCTCTGTATAAATTCAAGATTTGGGTCGACACTTTGACTGGGCCACTCAAACATCTGAACATGTTTTTACTGAAATCAGTCTGTAATCGTGGTTTTGTGCTAGGAACATTGTTAGAATGTGAAATTCCACCACAGTCAAACTTTTTCTTTTGCCACCACCAACAGCTTTCATCCAGTCCTGCATTCAGCCCCATCAGATGTACCTTTCTTGTCCTTACCAATAAAACAGCCCCTCAGCATGATGTCACCACCTCCGTAATGTTAAAATATGGCGAGAGTGGTGCCATATTCAGTGGTGCGATCTTTTCCTTCACACATAGGCCAAGAAGTTTGTCTTTTTTTTGTCTCATGACCAAATCTACTACTTTCCCATGTTTGAAGTACCTTCTGAAACTTTTGTTTAAAATCAATTCCTTTCTTGACATTCTTACACAAAGGTCATATTTTAAAAGTTGTCCTGCAGACAGATTCTCCCACCCGAGTTGTGAATCAGTGTGGCTCCTCCAGAGTCTGGATTTTGGCTGCCTTGTCGATTAGGTCCCTCCCTGTCATGTCTTGACAGGTTTGCTTGACACTGTACTCATCTTTGGAAAGATGGTCTGCAGTATCTTTTAAAGCTGCAAACTTTGCTCTTGTCTGTCACAAAGTTCCAAGAAAACGCTTTGAGGTGTAGAGCTGCAACATGACAAAAACATTTCAATCCAAGGAATTTGAATACTTCAAAGGCTTCCTAGACACTGTAATATTAGACCATGTCATCCCTTTTGTTTGGCTTTTAATCATCCTCCCTTTGGAGGCTTATCGCGTGACGGAGAGGGCGGACAGTTTGTGCGGTCCACTCAGACCGTCTCACCGGAGGAGGGTAAGGGTGCTGGCTAAAAGCGTGCCGAGTTATTGGATACGTGTTGTTGCTAGGGGCGTGGGTTGCGTCGTGCAACCGATTCCTCCCCAAACCTCAAAGAAAGAAAGCGAGAGAATGGAAGGATGAACCCGGGAAGACAAGGGTGGCAACATCAGCTGGTCCAGAGATGCGCGGACAGCTGCCTGATCCGACCTGTGCCGCAGTGAGCATAATCTCATAAGCGCTTCTGTCCATCCGTTACTCTGCTGCAGGACGGCTCTGAAGGGAGAAAAAAAAGAAGAAGAAGAAAAAAAAAAGAAAGTGCGTGCGGACTGTTTTATTGAGAATTATGCTCAGCTCTCACTTGTCGGAGCAGAATCGCGTCAGCCGCTGATTCCACTGAGTCAGAGTGCGGGATGGGGAGAGAGAGGACAGACCGCTGCGCACTTTCTCTGTCCCGTGATGTGTTTTCGGAGCGGCTGGTGCGTGGCACAGTTTCAACATCCTGGTCTATAGGCCGGGGAGGATTTGCTTGAGGAACGTATTTTTTTTGCAGCGGGAATCTGATGCAAGGTGGATGAAGGGGATTCGGTGAGCTCTGGCCGGCGATGACATCAGGCTGAAGTGTTGCAGTGAGGCGGTTTGGGAGGCGTGAGGTGGCGTGGAGCAATGCGTGCATCCTCCGAGCTGGACGCCTTCAGGGGAACGAGCTACGTCCTGAGCAAATTCAAGACATTAGGCCACTCATCCTGAGCTGAGCTGGCCAACTGCGTCACTGCAAGTGCAGGTAGGCTGCAAACTCCCCTACGTAGTCGGGAGAGGAGCATGCTCCCCAGCCCTTCCTGCACCATGTCGCCGGTTAGTGTCTTGACAATCTAAGGGGGGATGAATTCAGCTGACATTTCCAGCAAAGATCCGCCCCTAGGATCCACGTTTTCCTCAGCTCCTAACCTGGACTCGGACATTAACGCAAACGCGTGCAGGCATGTGTATGAGAATGGGATGGACCACAATGTCAACATCCAGAACGAAGCGCTCCGCGGGGCCAGCGACCCCAGCTCCTACCCCTCCACGGAGTACCAGGGGCTGGGCCGCCGCAGGTTCATCCGCCGGAGTCTGTGGGTGTCGGACCACGACGAGCAGCCGCTGGATACGTCGGATCTCGTCACCAGCAGCCCGGTGCCCAACATCGACCTACGGACTATTGTGGATCGGAGTCGGACCCGGGCTCTGCTTCCAGAGACCTCCAGCACGGAGAGCCAGGTGGGACTGAAGGACAGCGCCACGGAAAGCGTGAGCGCCGATGAGGAGCGTGGGGACAGGTTGGAGACGGGGCCCAAGGAGGACCCGGGTCCATCAGATGTTACAGGTAAAGCAGGCAGCGACGAGAACGAAGAGGAGCCCGGGATGAAGGCTGTGTCCACCTCCCCCGGTGGACGCTTTCTGAAGTTTGACATTGAGTTGGGGAGAGGGTCTTTCAAGACCGTCTACAAAGGTCTGGACACGGACACCTGGGTGGAGGTGGCCTGGTGTGAACTGCAGGTGAGTTCAGTGTCCACTCAAACTCTCAATCACTCAAGTAAATCTAGCTGAGGGGCCCTCTGGAGTGCAGCACAAAAAGGCTTCAAACAATGGATGGCGTTGTTATGCCATCCTTGGGCAAATGACATGAAAAAGAGAAACATTTCCATATATCTTCTTTATACTGTTCCCCTCAAAAACAGGATTTCTCCTGAAATTTCTCCTTAGATTCAAGGTCTCCTGATGACTCAAAGATTTCTTCTTCAAAATAAATCTTATTCCCATAGAGATGGTTGTAAACGACCTTTACATTGTTCATCTGGAACAATTCTCAGTTATGTGCATGATTCATTAGTTTTATTTGTTCCTTTAAATTTCTCAGCAGTGTAAGTGGACTTTCTTTTGAAATCTTAGAATCATCCAAATGGGAGGTTTTACCACTTTGTTGTTCAACAGTCACGCCTTTTTTTTTGTTGAAATTCCATAAGGAATTTCAACAAAAGAGTTTTACTGGGGCACAGATGATGCAGCCTGGGGCCAGTGAACCTAAAGAGGGTTGGCAACGCCTATGGCTTAAAATTCAGGTATTCTATAGCAATAAGGGTTGCAAAAAGCATCATACTAGATGTGAAACAATTATATGAATTCTCATAAGAAATTCCTTTAACAAATAAGCTTTGTCTGTGACAGGTTTAGATGCACCAATCAGTCGAGCATCATCAGTCTGTGCAACTGCACAGACCAAAAAGTTTATACTGCATATGTTTTTTTTTAGGGAAAAGAAATTTTATTCATGCTTTTCCAAATATAATTCATTTTAGAAATTGATGTTAAAGCTATGAATATCGTATTTAAAGTATTCATTTTATGAAGTGATCATTTTTCCAAATGATTTGATGTATTTATGATTTCCGATTATTTTTTATGAACGAACTGTGAAATTAAGTGGCAGCACAACAAAAGTGACAAAAACAACTGAAAGCAGTTTCCACATTCTGCATTTTGACCTGTCATGTGACAACCAGCCTCTGGGAAAAATGAAACAAGAGAAGAATTCCTCACAGAACTATGACACGGTTTTAATCTAACTCAAATCAAAGCTAATCTTACTGACAACTTTTAAATGGATTTCTGTTTTTTAAACATCTGATTTTGTCTTTAGTTGTTATGCAAAAATAAAAAAGGAAAGTTATTTTTGTCTACAAAAAATTAGACAAATGCATTTGTGTGGGTGCAGCAAAAAGGGACAGACTGTGATGTCCACTGTGAGAAATCGACAGAATTTAGCTGATAGTGAGACAATAACAAGTAATATGCAAATCAATCTCAATCTGGGATGATATTAAAACAGACTTTAAAAAAAAAAGAGTGTAAAACATCAAATTAAATGTTGAGATCAGCAATATTTTGTGTACATGTAGACAACTACTTTGAGTATCAATTATGTTTTTCCAGATAAGTTAAAATGTTCAAAAATAATATATATTTAATGTCTCCCATGCATAGCTTGTTTGCTCATTGCACATACATGAAAAATATTCCATGAACATCTATTTGATGTTTTTTTTTTTTTTTAGCTTTCTGGCTAAAACGTAACCTTGCTCTTACAAGTCCCGCCATGCGTCAAGAAAAAATATTCTCAGATAATTCAGCTCAGCTGCAGGGAAAAAACTGATTAACTGATGAGCAACTACAGTCTTCTTGGAAAGACTCTCAGTGATGACAGATTTTTTATTAGAAGTCAAAAAGCCAAGGAGGAAAAGTCTTTAAATCACTTATACAGCCGCTTCACTGTCACCGTGCACATTACTGTTCAGCTTTGATTATATTGCAATTTTTATTCACAGCCAGCCAAAATTAAACTGTAAAACACCTGAGAGCCCCCTGCTGGAGAGGATACACCACCAGAACTTGAATTCACACACTTTGTCACATAGACAGTTACATTTTTATCTACCATTTTTTATTTAATAAATAATAAAGTCACTTGGTAACTATAAAAGCTCTTTTAGAAGCATAATACAAAAATGATTCAGATAAAAAAAAGGAGAACGATGGGACTATGTTGGTCTTAGGTGGATGTAGCAAGTCCTCAAATTGTTGGGTTATGTACTTCAAATTACTAACATTTTCAAAACTAACATTTTAAGCAAAATTTTGTAACATGATCTAATTGTTTTCGATCTGAAAAAAAGTTATTCCTAATATTGTCAAAATTGACTAATATTACTAAAATGGTTTTATCTGTGTCATTCTCTTATAGTTATTTAAATTTTGACACATATACCTTGACAATATCTTAGTATACACATTCAATAAATGTTGTGGTAGTTTTATTGAACTGAATATATTTGGATCAAAAACTGATGGGAGCAGGTAGTTGGTCTTATTTCTCGCTACAGCTTGCCTGCAGTTGATGCCTCTCTTGTTTCTCATGACTGCCCATGTTTTTGTAACTCTAAATATTTATAGACAGATATTTTTTCTCTCATAAGCAAATGAAGGTGTAGGAGCGTTCTTTTAGCCAGCTGTCTACCAGTGTGTAGCCACAGATGGAAGAGGATCTGTATTGCACTGCATTACTCAGGAACAGTGAGCGGCCGGCACTCCATGCTTTTTTCTGAGATTGTTTTTTTAAGGAAAAAATGACAGTTATGGTAGAAAAAAATGCTGCAACCTCAGTTTTCAATTAACCATGCAGGTTATTTTATTACATGCTAACCCTACTGTTCCCCCGCAATGACAGCTTGCTGCATCACTAATCTGTGTATGCAGTAATCTAATTATCAGTTTAGATGCAATCCATGTGATATGGAGATTAGTGTCTGCAGACAGACGTGCAGACAGAGGCTGGCCTTCCAGGACTTCAAGTGTGCCAAATTAATCTTCTGCCTGTAAAGAGGAAGTGTTTTACAGCTGTTATAGAGCTGTAGCATACATTTCGTACAATAATTTCTTTGAATTATTTAGCAGGGGTGTGATTGTTCAGAAACTATTTTTTTTTTACATTAGAGGAGCCAAATGGGGAGGGGGGTGGGGGTGGGAGAAGAAATTCCAGGCAACTTTTTTTTTTTTTTTTTTTTTTTTTTTTTTTTATCATTTAATGGCATTTGTGTTCGAAAGGCCCCCCCCCATTTTTTTTTTTTTGCAGAGGGTCCTC